GGGTGGGGGGCAGCCAGGTGAGGGCAGGAGGGAGCCTTGGCGTCCACACCTCACCCTGCCCCTTTTGACTGCAGAGCACCAGCTTAGTCCCTGTCCTCGGTCTGTCATGCTCATTTTGCTTCCCCGTCTTAACCCGATGGCTCCCCCTCTTCCTCTGCTCCCACAGCCTCCCTCCTCCTGGCCCCCAGTCCAAACCTGTCACTGTCAGCCACGGCAGCGGGGACTGGTGGCAGGGATGGGTCTGATAAGACAGCAATGGCCAAGCCTTTGTTTTCGATCTTTGTGCCCAGAGACGGTCAAGTGCTCTAGGGCCCTGGGTGGCGTGACTGCCGTGGCCCCTCAGAGACTGTCCCACGGGAAGGCCCTGCTCTCCCCACCGCCCATGACACTGTATCGGCACATGTGACATCTGCCCATGTCACATCACCTTTGTCCTTCTGTTCAAATGAGCGGCTTCCTGCCTCCTCCAGGAGCCTGTGCCAACAGAAGCAGACAGGTTATGGGGAGATCACTTTGATTTTAGGATCCTACAGTCCAAATAGGCAATGTCTTATTTTTATCTCCTGTTTTTCAGCAGGAGAGGCTCAGGCCTACATGGCAGCATAGGACGGGCTCAGCACAGACTTCAGGGTCAGACGGGGGGTGGGGGCACGGCATGACCTAGAACAGGCCGTTCACCTTCTCCGGTGTCAGGGTGTCAGACGGGTGAAACGAGGCAAGATTCCTTGCCCGCCGCCCCTCCCCGGGCTGTCAGAAGAGCCGTGCGCACTAGTGAGCTCACCCCACATGTCAACCGTGTGTACTACTGTCCCGGGGCCCGAGCCACCCAACCCAGGGAGCCCCGTCTCCTCAGCCCTCGGAAACCTCGCCCCCTCCGAGCTCCCCGGTGCGGGGCCTCCAGCTCCGTCTCCGCACCCACGGTGCGCCGCACGTGAATGAATGAATGAGTCCGGGCACGCACTGCCGGGATTTGCTCAAGCTGTGGCGAGTGGGCTGGCTGGGAAGTGAAGATGAGATCAGCAGAGCTCTTGGGAACGCTTCTCGGGAGAAACATTCCCAGAAACGGAGGAGACGGAAGACTCTCCCGTGGCCCCCGCCTCACGCCCCGCCCTCGGCAGGACGTGTCACGATGAACTGTGATTCACCCACAGAGCCCCCGGGGGACCCCTGACTGCTGGCGCCCCCTCGCCTTCATCCATTATCCTCGCAGATTCCTAAAGAACGAGCCATCACGCTCGCTGTCACAACGTTGTACAATGTTGCAGTCACTGAAAACCACCAGTAATTTCTGTTCAAACAGACAGGCTGTCTTTTCAAACCAAGGCGATGGCAACACCGCGTGCGCCGTGTGTGCCCGAGCCCCCACCGGCACCCCCAGCGGGCCCATTCCTGTCGCCCTGCAGGCTCGGTGTCTAGCGCTCGCCCTCTTGCCCTCTCCTGCCTGCCTTGTTATTCCCCCCGTCACACCCAAAAGACACCCCGCCCAAAGCCCTTGATCTGGAACGTGAGTGCACCTTGCCTCGCCAACATCACAAAATAATCACAATGTCATGGCGTTGCTCGGCTCCCCTCACCGCCCCCCCAAAAAATCTACTCTCTAAATGGGCTTGGCCTAGATGGACACAGGTTCGGTGACATAAGTGACACACAGCCCATTCGATCAACGGCAAAACCCCTCAGGAGGGCCAGGAGTGCAGACCAGGGAAAGAAAACAATTCAAAGACCAAACAAAGGTTAATTCAGTAATTGCCCAAAGGCACCAGCAATTTCCAGCAGTACGTGCTGGAGGAAACAGCCGCCATTTGGGTCATTTGGCCCAGTGAGTGGTCAGCCAGCTGCTGCTTGGACACATCTAGTGACGGTGAACTCACTCCCTCTTGAGGATTCCCAGAAAGGGAATTGGAGGAGCTCTGGGCCATTCTTCATATCCGGGCCGAATCATTACTCCTCAAGAACTTGGCTCCCCTGTGTCCCCACCAGATGAGACTCAAGTCAGAAGAAGCAGCTGCATGCGTACCCTTTTCCTCCAAGAACGTAATTTCCTCCGTCTGAGTTGACGTGACTATCTTCCGTGTGCAGCTGTGATCAGAGGCCCGTGCACCCGCAGTCACTGGCATGATTTATTCCTAGACGTCAAGTCAGGGAGCGCGGAGCCCCGGAGAGAAACGGGCATTGGCCGTCACGGCCCCTCCCCTACAAGCTATCCACCCCGGCCCCCCAAGAAAGTGGATGAACATGAAGGTCTTGTCTTTAGAGCCCAGGGATGATCATACAAAGCTCCAGTTGGCCCCAATGGAAAATGAACCCTTGTAAACAGCCACACGTGTTCGAACGGGTTGGGGCTTTGTAACCAACTCGGCCATCTGCTGGGTCTGAGTGTTGTCCGTGAAGCTCTGTGCTGGGAAAGATTCTGGTGATGCGGCCATGGTAGCCGCCATCGACAGAAGCCGCCATGGAGCAGAAAGCATATGGTAGTGGAAGGAGCACCGGGGAGGGGCGGGGTGGCACGGAGCCGTTCCTCCCACCCCCAGGACTGTTTTTGGCCAACCTGAAAGAACTATGCGTAGCTCAAATCCTTTTGTCGCCAACACCAGGAGAACTGGCTGTTTAAGGAAACCTGACAGTGGATTGTTTCTATCAAGTCAGACCAGTGACTCTTCATTTTCCCCCCATTTTTAGTTTTGGAAATGGGGTTTTTCCTTAAGCCAGGCCATGGTTCGGTCACACGAAGAGTGAGTTCAGTGGTGACCTTGGAACATCGTTCTCCAAAGGAAATCCGTTCAATGCAGCCTCCCCCCACCCCGGGACCAGTGGCAAGCTACTTCATGCCTCGGTGACCACCGGTAAAGTGAGAGTAAGAAGGCTCTCTAATTTATATGTTGTGTTTTCCGTCCTGGATTAAGTAAAACGGGCTCCGAGGGCATCGTCCCAAGCCCCCAGAGCCCACCTCTGCAGAGCGTGGGAAAGAAATCAGTGCCTCATGGGGTCAGGAGCTCCGGAGGTCCGCAGCCGCCCAGACCACAGCTGGGGAATTCTGCGGCGTGTGCATGGAAAGCAGACGTGGGAAGAAGGCCACTGGAGATGGTTGTGAAGAGGACTTGGCAGTGATGCTCCTTTTAAAATTCTTGGCACACATTTGCCAGGATCTAAGCAGTCCTGAAATTTAAAAAATGAAAAAATAAAAAAGTGGCTCGGTTGTCCTAATCGGGATTTTGACAGAAAATGTCAATTTAAAGGATTTCTAAGCTGACTCCTAGGGCACCGACTGGCTGGCTGGTTTGCGTCTCTCACACTCTCCCCCCCTCCCAGCCTCCTTATATGGAATCTCCATTAATGTTCCCATATTTTTTCCTAGGTTGGGGAGAACATCAAAAATCCGGAAGGAGGGTGTAAGGAGCACGCGTTTGGGACTTAGTCTAGCCCCGCTCTGGTCTGCAGCTCCCCGGCCTCCAATCTTCGCCGCAGACTGAGGGCACTCCCAGCGTCTGTCTCACTGGATTGCTGAGAAGATCTAAAGGAGAGTGCCGGCAACGCATTCAGCCTTGTGTCTGGGACGTACCGAGCCCACACGATGAGGGATGTTTATCATGAAATTAGTGCCTGGTGGAAGGAGGTACTGCACACAGTTAATTAGTGAATCAAGCACAGCCACTGATCCCTTAGGAAATGAGGCAGGTGACGTTTAATTATCCCGCTTGGAAGGGACAGAGGTACTCACAGGGGCAGACGCCAGCTCTTTCCGTTAGTTAAGTGGAATGAGGTAGCTGCCCGCTTTGCTATAAGGAAACTCTCTAGAGTCAGGATGGCTTGAACAGCTTTGGGAAGCTGGGCAGTCACCATGCCCAGGGGACCTGACAGGGTGAGGTGGCAGGCCGGACATGTGTTGGCCTGTAAGGACTCCCCCTTTCGGTCCTGGGGTGTGACTCTGAGCAAGTTGCTTCCCCTTCTCTCCTTAGCCCACCTATAAGGTGGGAATGAACTCCGGGCTGGTCACTTGATTCCCTCTACATGTCCTCAGTATTCTCATCTCGAGAATGGGAGTGAAGTCACAGGTTCTTCCTACCAGGATACAGCTTCTTACAAAGAACTTCAGCGTCAAAAAAGCAAACATTCTATTCTGTTTTCAATGTGCGAGGCATGGTTCTTAATGCTTCACATACTCTAATATTTCATTCCAGACCCCTTCCAGCTCAGGGGCCCTGTGGCTTCAACCTCTGCTCCAGTATCTACCTGCAGGGGCCAAGGTCACTCACTGCCTCTTGGAGACTCCTTGCGGGTGGGGGGACCTTGTGTCAGGAAGGAATCGGCCCTATCTTTTCTCCGTCAAGGTGCAGCCATTGCTCCCAACTCCGTGCTTTGTGGTCCCAAGGAAGACGCCTGCTCCCTTCCTCTATGGATGCCCTGAGAGGTCCAAAGGCAGCTAGCAGACCCTAACCCCACCAGCCCAGAGTGGGACAAGCACTGCCCTTTCTCTCCCTGGCCGGGTGGTTGTTCGCCAGGAATTGGAAACAAACCATGATGAAGGCCAGCGTTTGCTGCGCACTCACTGTGTGTCAGGCCCCTGGACGTCCCTGCCCTGCATTCTCAGGCCACCCTGACAGGCACCTGCATGGCTCACTTCAAAGAGAACCAGAAAGAGACTCCCCCTCCCCCGGGAAGATTGCCCCAAGGTCGCACTGTGGGGTAAGCAGCAGCAGCTTCAGCCTGATTCCCAGTCCCAGCGCTGTGGGAACGGGGAGCGCCGGAAAGCAGGCGAAGAGCAACGGGAGCCCCCGCAGGGCGCGTAGCGGGGGCCTGGGCGCCCCCCAGGCCGGCAGGAGGTCTCAGGGCCGAGGCCCGGCAAATGAGCCTTCAGCACCAGGGACAGCTCCCAAACCGCTCCCCGCCGCCCCCGACGGCGGCGCGCGCGAAACCAGCGGCGCGCTCCCCGCCGCCTCGGGCGCGCGCCCTCCCGCCAGCGCGCGCCCCGCGCCGGGGACTGGGAAGGAGCCGCGCGTGCCGCTCGCAGGGAGCCAGCCCGCCCGTCCCGAGCCGCGGCCGCAGCCGGAGCTGGCAGGGGGCTCCCGCCCCGGCACGCAGTCGTCTCCCGCTGGCCTCCGGGCCTCCCCAGCGCCAGTCTCGCCCGCCCGGCCCCAGCGGGCGCCGCAGCCCGTGGCCTGGGCAGGAGCGGCCGCCGGTAGCTGCGCCCTGCCCGGGACGGACGCCGGACCGCCCCGTCACGTGCGCCCAAGTCCTCGGCCGGCCGGGGCAGCGCCGTTCCCATGGTTCAAGGTAAGGGCCGAGCGGCCGCGGGGCGCGGGGGCCCAGGACGCCAAGGCCGCAGGCAGGGAAGCCCCGACTCGGTGCCCACCTCGGCTGGAACACCCCCTGCAGCCTGGAGCGAGGCCCCTGCCCCACGCAGCAGCCCCGCCACACCACCTGTCCCATCTCCATCCGCCCTGGAAGTGCGCCCCAGGGGAGGTGGCTGTGGACCGCGAACGGGGACCCAGGTGGGCAGCAGGGTCCGAGGGAGGCGGGGGACCCACTGTGCCAAGGGACGCCTGGGCTCTGTCTTGGCCCGGCCATGAAGGAAATCGGGGAGAGAAAGTTTCCCAGACGAGCCTGGCCTCCATTCTCTCGGTGGCCGGGAACTAAGACCTTCCATTTGCGGAGGCTTTGCCTTGGGCCAGGCACCTGCCGGCGCCCGACCTGCAAGTAATGGTTCATGCAGTTCACCCAACAGCCCTGGGAGAGGGGCGTCGCCCGATTTGGCAGATGGGAAAACTGAGGCTCAGGGCAATCTGGTCCCTAGTCCAAGGTCACACAGCCAGTAAATGGTAGAGCCGACCCGAAACCCCCATCGTCTGTCACCGCCGCTGGCCTCACACACACCCTTGCCTGTTTGAAATCTCAGCTGAATGGGGGAGAGGAGTCTCAGACGGGCGTTTGCGTTTTCCTAGCCAGGAATAAAAAGACCTTCCAAACCCCAAAGACCCAAGAGAGCTTGCCTGTCCACCCTCCCGGCCCTGCCACCTCATCGCACCCAGTGTCCAGTGCTCCCAAAGCCAAGGGCCACGTGGCCACTAACGGTCCTGCCAGGGCACATCTCATGCCAGCGCCCATGACTCGGTGACAAGAATCTCAAAGGTCAAGTTCACTGACCCTTCTCGAGGATAAGGGAGTGTTCCAGAGGCCTTAGCCCCTGCGTGGCCTGTTTTCACATTCCTCAGGACGCTGGGCCTCTGGAGAGCGCAAGGGGACAATCTGCCAGCCTTCCCCCAGCATTCCTCTCAACTCACACCAGGATGGGCTCTCGGTTGGGGCGGGGGGGGGGGGGGGGGGGGGGGGAGGGGGGCGTTTCCAGACACCATGAGAACGTCCAACCCCAGAAATTTCCCACTTGCTAGGACAGCCTCCATCCCCCTCTGCCAGCGGCACTGAGGATGGAGCCTCAGTGACCAGAGCTCTTCTTCCCAAAGCAGGTGGTGCCGCCCTCCCTGGGCCCGGGGGAGGGACTGACTTTAGCCTTTTGTGCACTTGCCACAAGCTTGTTCGGGAGCTTGGGTGCTGGGAACTTGTGACACATCGATTGTGTCTTGCTCCCGAGGCTGGGGCTGAGGCAACATGGGGTTTGTTCATTTTTCCATCTGGCAGTGGCTGTAGGGCGCCTGCATGACAGGGTGAAAAAAACAGGGCGATCCTTGCGCCCTGGGTCCTCCCGACTTCCCGTCTCCCTGCCACTCGAGTTTCCAGTGGGGCTCACTGGTTGGGACTTACTCGGTAGGCTTGGAATTGGCCTCCTGAATGGTTTGGGGGTCTGGGAAGGACCTGCAGGCTCTCTCGGCCTCCGTGTCCAGGGGTGCGGGGGATGGGTGCGTGGGGAGCCCTGGGGAGCATCGGCTGGTCTTTCTAGAGCTCCCCGTCACTCTCTGCCAGGAGCCTGGCCTACGGAAGTGTCGCAGCTTCTCCAGCCTGGCCTCTCCAGGGGAGAGAGGGGGGCGCCTACCACAGAGCCCCTGCCAGCCTCCAAGGCTTCAAGTTCCCAGACAGGCATCACTTACACGGCACAATCGTGTAAGGACCCTCGGGGGAAAGGGTGGGCACAGCCGGAGGAGCCAAGACAGATCTGCCCAGTTCTGTCCACCTTTCCAGATGACCTTGGACAAGTCACTCTCCCTCACAGTGTCAGCTGTGAAATGACGGAGTGGCTCGTGTTATGTCCCTGATGGGCCGTTACCACTCTGTTCTTCAGAGCCCCGGACAGAGCGGTAAGGCCGGGAGGAGCTGCCGTATCGAGGGAGCTCAGAGGGTCCTGAACTCTCGGGGTCAACCTGAGTCCGAGGCCCCCACTCCAGTGACCCCCCCCAGCGACCCCCCCGCCAGCCCTGCCTGTTTGGACTCCAGCTCTAAATCGCTGAGTGCTGGTGCTGGTGCTGGGGGAGCTGTATGGCCCGGCCGGCCCGAGGCTACACAGCAGGGACCCGCCTCCCACAGGGAGGCCTCCAGGCCTGCTCTACAAAGTGGAGGCAGCGAGATCCCGTGAGGCATAATGGCGGAGCTCAGGACGGGTGAGGGAGCAGGGGGGCTACGGGAGAGAATTATTACCTGTCAATTGCGTCTGACTCCGCGCAAGAGGCGAGGTCCAGTGGCCACAGGGCCCCTGTCCTGTCCTCCCGGGAGCTCCCGGCCTTGCCGCTGTCTCCCCAGTAAGCAAGCCTGTGTCTGTCCGTCAGTAAGAGGCACTTTGTTTGAGGAGGGGTGGAGAGTGAATCTGGGGCTATCTTGGGCAGATCGCTCAGCCTCCTCGTGTGCAGAACTGAGGGTCCCCTGGCTTCCCCCACAGCACACGGCGGCCACTGAGAAACTGGGCCTGCCCGAGGTGTTGGATGCCCTGAGTCTCTTCCCACAGTCTGCTCCGCGGAGGCCAGGGCGACCGGGGCTTCTCAGCTTGGCTCTGCTCTCCTCCTGGCACTGGTTTTCCTTGCGGTGTCCCGATCCCTTTGGATTTGCTCCAGAGGGGATTTGACAAGCCCGGCCCCTCCCGTGTTTGCCAGCTCCTCTCCTTCCGCCGGCTCGTGGCTGCGGGCACGCTGGTTTCTCTTTTCAGAGCTCTTTGTTCCTTTGGGAATGAGGTCCCCTCCCAGAACAGGCTCAAGCTGGGGATTCCTCCCCCAGGCTTGGCCCAGCCTGCCTGGCTGGGGCTGTCTGAGGAGGAATTCTAGGGGCCACCTTGTCCCCGGTGAGACCAGGCTGCGGCAAGAGCCCTGAACTCGCACTGGGGTTCGTCTCTGAGTCTGGCGTTGCTGCTTCCTGGGCCGCGCTCTGAAACGGGGACTGTGGCCCGTACTTCCCAGGGGGCCTTGCAGGATGAAAGAAATCATCCTGGTGAGAGGCTTGGGGCCTCTGGAGCGGGAGAGCGAGAGGGAGGTTAGATCAGGCAAGGCTTAGAAGCCCTCCTCTGGGGGTGGCTCTCTTTAGAGGGTCCCCAGAAACTGCAGGCATCGCGAGCCTGGGAGGGACACGGCCAGATCCGGCTTCGAGAAAACGTCCATGGGCTGCGGTGTGAGGGCTTGCTTGGAGAGAGCGAGGCTGGAGGCAGGAAGGCTCTGGAAGAGACCATGGCCTCCAGTCGGGAGGGAAACGACGGCGGCCCGGACCGGGAGAGTGAGAAGTGGGAAGCCACAACCATCCAACCCAGGCAGAGGCACTTGGATGCTCATTGGGTGGTGGGAGGGGACTGAGTGGTGGCTGGGGACTGAGCAAATAGTGGCCCTAGAGCACCCTTCTGCACGGGGTGGGGTCCCGGACCCCCGAGGGGGCTGTTCGTTCCAGCAGCAGCGTCAGAAGTGCCTGGCACAGCCTGGCTCGGTGGTACGGCCTGTCCTCTGCACATGGCCCGCCTGCCTCGGGGGGCTTTCCTAGGGTGGGACCCAGGTGGTGCCCAGCCGGTCACTAGACCCCTGCACTCAGCTTTCCCAGGTGGCAGAGGTGGGAGGAGCCTGGGCCAGTCAGGAGGCCCAAGTGGAGGCTGGCCAGGCTCCCAGGGCTGCAGCCTCATCTGCCACGTTCCCTGGCCACGAGAACAGGTTGGTAGAGTGGTGGAGTGGGTGAGAGCAGTGGTCACTGGGGCTGGCCAGAGCTATGTTTCTCCCCAAGCTGTGTGTCCCTGGGGAAGTGACTTAGCCTCTCTGGGCCTTGGGTTCTGCAGTGATGATATTAACATCTACCACCTAGCATTCGCCAGATCAGGACTCAGCGGGCCGACTGGGGAGGGTGGTCCGGGCATGCTGCACACCCGCAGAAACCTCTCTTCCAGGCCTGGTCCACCCCCAGGGGAGCCCCGCCGGGTGCTTGTTTCCTGGCTGGGCCGTGGAGTGGCCTCGGGGCCACCCTGACTCCCCGTCTACCACCTGGCTCCGGGTTCTTCCCGACCAGATCCACAGTTTCTGCAAAGCAACAGCAATGGCAGAGGTGGCCCTTCAGGGCGCCCCCAGCCTGGCGCCGGCCGGTGGGGCCCTCTGCTGGCCTGGATCCTTGGAGAGCAGCCCCCCCTCTTATTACCGTCGCTCCTGTTGTTAACTGTCCTCCGGTGCACTTAGTGGCGCGTCCCATAGGAGCCGGCGCTCGGAGCCGTGCTACCCCGCTGTGGCTGCCATCCGCAGCGGCGTCGGCGTCCCCGGGAGCTGGCTGGGCACAGGCTCTCAGACCCCCTCCGGACCTTCTGCCCTAGCAGGCTCCCCAGGCGATTTCTGTGCTCAGTGAAGTTTGAGACACGCTGTTCTGGAAAACACGCTGCTCACGGAAAAAGAAAACCGACACTACCTGCAGAAAGCTGCTGCAGGTGACGGTCTCCTCCAAGCCGCTACGTCTCCAGCTGGTCTGGAGTCATTTTAATACACTAAAGGGATTTTTAGATAAAATCCATTTATGCCAGCTCGAAAAGAAAAAATGAAACCCTGCATTCCTTGTTCTTTCACGAAGGGAAAGCTGCGGGCGTCCCCGCAGTGACCACGCCCCCGACCCCCGCGCCCGGCAGGCTCATGGATTGCGTGCCGGCCCCCCCAGCCCGCGTCTTTCGGGGGCTCGTCTGCGTGTGTCCCTCCCGTGCCTTTTAGTGGCAGACCCAGACGCTCTCCGGCGCCAGCACCCACCTTCTCGTCCGTTCGCCTGGCTCCACGTTAGCGGGCCGGCCTGTGGTTCCTGGGTTTTCGTGCCTGCTGGACGGTGTTATTCACTTGTTCCCGGTGTGAGCCCGATAGGAGAGGAACCGGCGGCAGAAGGGGCCTGAGGGG